AGGAGGAGGAGGAGGAGGAGATTGGATTTATACCCCGCCCTTCACTACCCAAAGGTGTCTCAGAGCAGCTTACAAGCTCCTTTCCCTTCCCCTCCCCACAGCAGACACCCTGTGAGGCAGGTGGGGGCTGAGAGAGAGCTCTGACAGAAACTGCTCTTTTTTCAAGAACAGCTCTTGTCAGAATTACGGCTTGCCCAAGGTCATCCAGCCAGGTGCAAGTGGAGGAGTGGGGAATCAAACCCAGTTCTCCCAGATTAGAGTCCGTGCACTTAACCACTACACCAAACTGGCTCTCCTGACATACCTGGGCAACAGCACCCAGCCCGTGGGAGACTGACCTGGCACAACGGAGCCTCAGGGGAAGCGAGGAGGCTGCCGGTGAGGCAGTGGCCTGATCCCCCGACCAACGACGAGCCCTTGAGCTTGGAGGAGGCGCAAGGAGGAGGCCTCAGGACGCCTCAGCCGGGCCAGAACGTGCAAGGCGACAGCAGACCTGAGTGGGCTGTCGGCTGGCTGCCGGGGGAGCGGAGCATTAGCGGGAGGAGACCAGGGCCGGCTGGCAGCCCTTTGCCAGGAGAAAGATTAAATGGGCGAAGTGTGGCTGGGCTCAGAGCTGCGCTCGGCTTCCTCGCCACTAATTCCAAACAGACAGAAGAAATGGAAGGGGGGGCAGTGTTGAGGTGAGGTCCCCGAAGTAACCAGAGTTCCCTCGCACGGCAGCCACAGTTCCCAAGGGTAAGTCCAGGGCTATTTTTGGGCAGGAACGCACAGGAACGGCTGGCTCCCAAGTTGGCCACGTCCAGCAGGAGCTCATTAGCACAATAGGCCACACCCAACAGCAGAAACTCATTAGGATTGGCTACATTAGGGGTGTGTGGCCTAACGTGCAAAGAAGTTCCTGCTACAAAAAAAGCTCTGGGTTTTGACAACAAACAAGGTAAACAGAATAAGAAGCAAAAGGTAGGTGTGGCCTAATATGCCAATGAGCTGCACTGTCAGGGGTGTGGCCTAATATGCTAATGAGATTCTGCTGTTGGGTGTGGCCTATTATGCTAATGAGTTCCTGCTGGGCTTTTTACACAAAAAAAGCCCTGGGTAAGTCCATTCTCTGTGCAGGGAAGGTTGTTGCTGCTGTGACAAATGTCCCCTCTAAGCTGTGGAGTCTTGTGAGCAAAACTTCTACTTTGTGAGCTACTGGCATTAAAGTTGTGAGCGAGCGATTTGCTTGCTGCATAATGTTTCCTGAGCTAAGACAAAAATGTGTGAGCCAGAGGCTAAAAAACTGTGAGCTAGCTCACACTAACTCAGCTTAGAGGGAACAGTGGCTGTGACAGTTGGAGCACCAGCGGGGATGGTTAGTGGCGCGGTGGCTTCCCTCGCTCTGTTCCCGTGCTGCCGTGAGTTCCCCGTGCATGCCCAGAGCAAGGAGTTGTAGTTTTGGGGGGGATTTAAGTATCCCCTGTATACTTTTTGAAACATCTCAGATCTTTTTGCACACCTGGAGAGCGCGCCCAGTGTGCAGGAATATCTGTTGACCCCCCACATCCCCCAGATTTGCGGAAATAAGTATCCACACATAGGGGGCATGTTGGGAATTAGATGTATAGATAACTTTACACATTTATTTGCTATTCTGACATATTTATTGCTTTACAGCTGTTGACCTCAGGGGTCATTTCCTGCAGGAGCACACAGGACTGTAGCTCCGGCAGTAAAGAGCCCAGGGGGCGGGCACATTCAACAAGCCCCACCCCCTGCTCCCAGCAGCCCTCAGTCAGAGCAAGAAGCAGCCAGGTAAGCTGCAGAGCCCCCCCCCACCGGCCCCCTGGTCCAAAACAGTCCAGTGGCACCTTTAAGGCACAAGCTCTCCCTCCTCTGCGGGGACAGATCTGCACGTCCCCCCCCCCAAATAGCTAGCAATCCAAAACAGTCCAGTGGAGCCTGAGCGGTGGGTGTTGCCTTCTGACATACTTCCGGTGGTGTCAGGGGGTGTGGCACATGCAAATAAGTTATGCTAATTAGCTACTGCACCTCTTTTTCTACTAAATGACCCCTGGTTGACCTTATAACCTTAGCTTGTTATTTATTTTTGTCTTTGCCCACCTTCATCATGTTACACGTTAATTTGCCGTTCCGCCCATCTATAAGTTTGAGCCTCCCCTGCCATTCCAATGTATCTGAAAAAGTGTGCATGCACACGAAAGTGCATACCTTGAATAACACTTTGTTGGTCTTAAAGGTGCCTCCGGCGACTCTACATTTGCTCTACCGCTTCAGACCAACACAGCTGACCACCTGGATCTACATTGTTTCAGATGGCCTCAGACAATTTCATCGCCACCCCATGATGGACTGCATCGCTGGCTTGCAGGTAGGGGAGGAGAGGGCCAAAGCAAGGGTGGAGGTAAAAAGAAGAAGGAGAAGAAGAGGTGGGTGCCGGCTATGAAAGAGCCGTCGCTGTCCTCAACCAAAGGCCCCGGCGGAACCTCTCTGCCTTACAGGACCTGTGACCTTACAGGACCTGCAGGGCCCTGGTTGTATTCGGCAGAGAGTTCTACCAGGTGGGAGCCAGTGCCAAGAAGGCCCCGGCCTTGGTCAAGGACAGCCAGACGTCTTTAGGGCCAGGGACCACCAGTAGATTATTCTCAGCGGAGTGTAATGCTCTTCCGGGTGTTGGGAAATTGGTAAAAATAGTTAAATATTCAGAGTTTGCAATGGATCTTTGTTCACTGGAGAGGAGGCATTTTCCTTCTGTGTAAAAAATCTTTCATTCTAAAGGGACGGGGACACAGGAAAATCTACAAAACAGCAAACACTTCAGTCTACATGCTTGCAACAACAGTAGGGCTGCCAAGCCGCGGCAGGGGATCTGCATGTCTTCACAGGATCCCTGCCGCGGGGGACAGCAATATGCGTTGCACCGCTGTCGCCAGGATGTGACGCTACGCGTCGCTCTGGCAACGGGACTGTTTGGAGTCCCGTTGCCAGAGCGACGCGTAGCGTCACATCCTGGCGACAGCGGTGCAACACATATCACTGTCCCCCGCGGCAGGGATCCTGTGAAGATGTGCGGATCCCCCGCCGCGGCTTGGCAACCCTAAACAACAGACACACAGATATTAATGGAGATTCTGCCCTTCTTCTTGACCCTTAGAAGGAAATCACCTGAATGCATTAACCAATGATTGTTAGTAAATAGGCTTCAGTTTCCCGGGCTTTTTTCCCCCATTGGCTTTCTGCCAGGTTCCCTTCCAGGTCAGTCTAAACAATAGCCCACAAGGTAAGCACATTAACCCTATAATGACTGACTTTAGACCTTGCAACACACATATTTCCAACACCAGGAACATACCAGATCCATCAGAGGTCTACAATCTGGGCTCATGCTACCCCAACTGTGCTGTATTTATTTATTTTAGCATTTATATCCCGCCCTCCCTGCAAGCGGGCTCAGGGCGGCTTACAAGGAGCAACAAGTGCCCATGCATAAAATCGCATAAAAACAGTAAAAAACAGTAATTATCGACACAAATGAGGTGCTCAGTAAAAAACAAGATGGTCACCAAATAAAATTACAAGATGGTCTCAGTCTTTCATAAAGGTGGTATTGTCCTGTAGTTGGTGTACAACCAGTTGGTATACGGCGCCACGCAGTATCCTGGCAGATCTTCCAGGGACCATCCCCCCTAGCCCCGTTGTTGCCCACGCTATTTGTGGTGGTGGCAGCGGCAGCCCCTACGTAAAAGCCTGGCAGAAAAGCTCCGTCTTACAGGCCCTGCGGAACTGCAGA